GGTATGTATCTGCCACTTACCAGTAATAGCTCCTACATAATTTGCCTTTCTTAAAAAATAAATCAATTTTACAAGAATTAACGCGCTTTCACCACGAAGTCGCCCCCGAGGAGGAGGAGCAGTTGCTTTTAGGGTGCCTCGATCATATAGAGGAGGTTTACTCGGAGCCCTGCATCAGCACGGCGACGGTGATGCAGCGTGCTAACGGTAAAACATACTTCTTTAAAAAAAAGATTACGTCTAATTTACGTTTTACTAAAAAAAGTGGCAGGTCCATCGACAGCGCTGGACATACACCTGATGGAGAAAGAAGAAGAAGAAGAAGAAGAAGAAGAGGGCGAAGAATCGCTTCACAATACGTGGGGTATGCGTTAAACAGCATCGGAAACAAAAGGAAAAAAACAATGCGATCTTCTTCATAATTTTTTTTACAGATGAAATCATGTCAATAGCATCGGCCGGTAGCGATCGCAGTGTCTATGGCAATGGTGATGATGATGACCGCTCGACCATGTCCAGCGCTTCTAACGTGCACTATCAATGTAATAATTATAAATTTACAGACACCGTTGAAAACTCATCTGTGTGAAAATAAAAAGTAAACGAAGTTGTAGACCCGTTGGAAGCTGCTGGCTACGATGACCACATTGCACTGGGTAACGCACGGCCTCCGCAGGAGCACGACGACGCGGAAGAACCAGTGCTATGGGATCTCAGGAACGGCGTGTACGAGGTAGCGGATACCGACGAAGCGGCCGAGGCATTAGCGGGGCGCGATGTGGGCCCGAGCGCCGCGGCTACCCTCGAGGAAGGTAACGTAGAAAGAGATATTCTTTAACATTTAAAGTCTTCTTTGTCGAAATTGCTAACTTTAAAAATGTAGGGGATGATGATGAAAACCTTTTAGACGCTGTATTCTCATCCATCGGGTCGATGTTTAATTCTTGAGAGGAATGAGAAGTCAGTATGAGCCGAATACTCTTTCTTTTTTTGTTTAATAACAAAAACGATAATAAACAACTTTCCAAACGCTAGATGCGGTGGATGCGGACACGCAGTATCAGACTGGCGGGGGACCCCTTCTTCGGTCGCAGAGTTGTGTCGACGAAGACACCGACAACGATGGAGTCAGCGATAACGACATGTTACCACCAGGGTATAGGTTTACCGTACAAGCCGAAACGACGCGCCGCATAAATCGGTTTCGATTAGACGGACGCGAAATAACAATGGCTATCCGGCAGCCACCCCAAGATCCTGATACGAATACGGTATCTTGGCTG